GTCTCAAACTAAGGAATTTCCAGGACTATGACCAGAACAACGGTATTCACTTCAGGGACCTTCTAATCCAGTACCAAAAGTGCAATCCGTTGGTTCACCGAGGTTGTTATAGTATAGTAATTTAAAAAAAAACATGTCGTACATTGTGTAGTGTTCTGATTATTTAGTGTATGTTTTTTTACAATACCAAGTGATTAGTACGAACAAGTCATGCGCCTGATCGTAAGCGACACGCCTGTCCATAACAGTTGCAGTGCCACTCAGAGTTTTAAATCGCAAAGATCTTAGGGGCACTGCCACTACGTCCATCACTTAAGTTGGCAAAATTCCTTGAAAACCGGAACGGTCTTTCACAAGGACCTCTACTGCTACTAAAGATTCTATTTCAACTCGTGAGATATTACCAAAAATAGCTTCTGTTGTCTTATCATAAACCTCTGTATCCTATAAAAATCTCTGTGTCCTATAAAGGACAAATTACAAATGCCTTATTTGTAAAGTTATAATAATCAAGGTTCTCTAAAAACATCGCAAGATCGAAGAAGAAAAACTGCACTGAAATAAGAAATTTTTAAATTTAAAAGTTTTGAATTTATTATTGAGCGTGTACATGACATGATAAAAGGAAACTTCACGGTTCCTTAAGTTTTTTTAACGCCTTTGTGCTCCCCCTTTCCAATCGACGGCGTACGTATTTGAAAAATTCAAAACATCGAAATATATTAACCTCGCGCAAATGCTTTCCGATAATCCCATGGTTTGAAGATCAAAGAACCTGCGATTCCAGTTTACTGCGTATGTTAGTTTATAATTAACACATATTTTTTGTATTAAGTCACTTCAGTTACTTTTTTAGACACTTTGTTATTTTGCAGAAATTTGAACGCGAGCTTAGATTCAAAATCAATGTTAATAAATTAAGAACAGGCGGAGAAAATTTGACACAGATCCAACGTGGACAAGCGCTCGATGGCGGCTGACGGGGCAGCGCTGCATGTCGTTAAACCGATGAGCAATTATCAAGTTTTGGGATATATGTATTTATATAATAAGGCTTCAGTTGAAAATCAAAATGTAGCAGGTTATCTGTAGCATTTAAAGAAAAATATCTCCACCTGTATAAAAATTATGTACAAAGTCAGATATTTTATTCTTAAATAATTCTTTCAGACTTTTAATTGAGGCTGGTTTTGGCAGTTATGAGTAAAGTCGTGTAACGAATTAGTACATTCTTTAAGCAATACTCTAGACGTATCGTATATTTTTATAAGACCGTTAAATAACAAACCCAATTTTGATCTAGCAAAATTTTTCTTGCTTCTCCTCCAGTAACTCGCCTTAACCAAGGATACAAAACAAAATACAATACAATAATTCCCAGATTTCAGAGTGAGGTTATTATTCACTATATGCGTATTACTTCGTTTAATAGTTTGGGTAAATATACTTTGCGTATTTTGATCTCTGGTTATATTACTCAAAACATGTTTAATGTACAAATATGTAACGTTGTTTGTCTTACAAAGTTCTCGATGTACACTCCAGAACACAAAATTCGAGATACCTTGCATTTTTTAACCGACTTCAAATGATCAGAAGGTTCTCAATTAGGCTGTATTTTTTACGTGATTACTGTGACATTTGTAAACCGATTTCGATGATTATTTTTTTATTGGAAAGGGAGTACCTCAGTAATAGTCCTATTCAAATTAGAAGAAAATATTCCATCACCAATGTTAGCAAATTGGGGGAAAAATCCGGTTAACGGATAGTGAAGAAACACAACCGATTTGAATAAAACTTGGCAACTGGAAGTAACTTCACAAACTTCTAAGATCGGTTTTTTATAAAAAAAGTTGTAATAATTATTAATTAACTAGACTAAAGAAGTTTAAGGGGGAACGCTGCCAGCATCTTGGGGCACCTTGCCGCGGGGACCCAATTTTATTCATATAATTTAAAAATCCTAGTTTTAGTTTCTAGTATATAAGCTTTTATTATACCTTACCTGTATATTATCAAATATATAAAATATTATATACCTATAAAGAAGACGTTATACAGGTACGTATTCAAAATATAATCTAAAATTAACGGGACTTCCTCGCGTAGTAATTTAGTCATACTGGTCTATATAGCACTGGTAGTGCTAGACGTGACGCGGTCGCGAACGTTGCACTCAAACCCTGAAGAAGACCATCGACTATGGTCGAAACTAGTCGGACCGCTTCCGACTAAAATACTACGTGATTAAGTCCCGTTAATTTTATATTATAATGTGTGATAACCGCGTTAGTTTCCATAATAAAATATAATCTACAAGTTTAGAACGGTTCTTTTCCTAAATCGAAACTTCTGGAAATCTCCTTCGTCCTTCTCATCCAGCACCACTGTGCCCACCACCGTTCTTCTGAGGTCCTCAATTTAGTATTCCTTGAGCGGCTTATCACTTGCACCATCCATCAAGATCATCCTGTGACTGACATCTCCGAACAAGGAGTCTTCCCCTTTCCCTTCGCAAATAACTTGGAGTCCCCAAATAATGTGCGTGTTATTGAAAATTTTAGCCATCCCTTACCACTACATAGAGTTTGTTCATAAGTTTACACATGATGAATTCTAAGATAGCACCTTTTATAAATCCAAATCGAGTAGCACTAGTTACAATTTCTTACTAATTTACAAAGAGCTAACATACATTTAAAGGATCTTAATATTGTTTATTTTAAAAACTTATCAATTACATTATCTAAACTACTTATCACAGCGAGACAAATAAAAAATAAAATAAGTAAGTTTATAAATAGAAAATTTTGTTGAGAGCCATCGTGACCAGAAGTCTAGCAATATTTACCCTTTGAATTGCTAAATTTCTTCTTTGGCGGAAATAGCTAACGACCTTGTGGTCACCGGAGGCTTCTACTAGACGATTCGACAGCTCGTACGCTAGAAGTTTCATCTGTGGCTCCCAAGGACCCAGGATAGGCGTATTTGAGCCTTTTGCGGTTCTTGGCCGCTCTGGCCACAGAGCCTGCGCCGCCCACGCTTGCAAGGACATAGGTGGGGGCTACAGTGTCCACACAGGTTGCGTCCCACACTAGCTGTCTCTCTCTATTTTGTTGCTATTTTCCAATTTATGTTTGAATGTGTTCAATCGGACAATAAACACAAATAATAAAAAAATGTATAATGTAGTGAAAAAGTACGTTTTTGTAATAAAAACGACCATTCAGTCAATATTTCTGTGATATAATAATGAATTAGTAAGAAAATTTTTATGGCACCTTGTTACCATTATAATAATAATAACGCTCACACTCAACATAGCCCCGCACTAAGGAAACCCTGTGTCGCGGGTGCCATGGACACACACATAGACAACCACAAATTACACCCAAACTCACGAGGGAAATAAATGTAGGCCACACAAATATTTCTCCCGGCCCGGGAATCGAACCTGGGACCTCTGCGTGGCAGTCCGGCATGGTAACCGTTCAGCCACGGAGGCAGTTGATTACTGCGTTCCGATTTTGAAGGGTAAGAGTGCTGGTGAAATTACAGGCATATGGGACTAGTCAAATTATAGGTATCTCAGGGTGATGAGCGTAGTGGCAGTTCCCCTTACATCATTGCGAATGAAAGCTCTGAGTGGCGCTGCAACTGTTATAGACAGGCGTGTAGTTTACCATCAGGCGTACGACTTATCCGTCGCGTCACTTGATATTATAAAAAAAGTATTTTAATTAATAAAATTATTATTGAATACCACGATGCCACGATTTTTTTGGTCATTTATGTTTTATGAAATTACTCCACTAGTTTGTTTAAGTATAATACAAAGATTGATTACAAAGAAAAATGCCTTCGATTTGACAGAACTATAAGGACTTGATGTGCCAGAAAATTGCGGTATGGAATGAATCACATAGTCGGTAATGATGGTTCATTTATATTTTTCTTTTTGCTCAAAGTTATATAACTTTATCCCTTCGGAGCACGAGGCCTGTTTATTGTAGGTCTTATGGTAGGTTAGTACATTTTATGGCACGCAAAATGTTAAGCCGAGTTTCTCTTTTTTTTAATTTAATATTTAACATCGTCTAATACGCACTTATCTTTAAATTACGGTTAAATTATATGTGTAATCCAGAAAATCTGTAATTCGCCTTAACATTGACCAGCATTAAGTACATTTTACATGTATTAAGCTGTTGATTTTCTTTAATAAATGTAAAAAACAAAACTTGAACTAGGGCAACGTGTGTGGGTGCAATACAGTAAAAAAGCCGTTAAAGCCAAAAACAAATATCTGTAACAATGTAGAACGGATGCGCTAGATTACACAGCACAGGTTCGAGTTTTGTTAGATGGAACGAATTTTTCCTTGTGTTCGATTTTTGTATTAAAGTAAACAAAACGGTTAGGTTAAAATTCTAAAGCAATCACTCAATAAATCGAATAAGAAACACTTTCACGTATATTTTCGACTTAATACCATATCACTTTTTCCAACAATATTCATTTGAATAAAATAAAATAAAATAATAAAATAAAATTGTTTATTCAGTAACATAATGTACAGAGAAAACTAAAGACTACTTATGCGATTTAATGTAAAAAGAATAGCATCGTAAAAGCGTATTTGAAAAATGGTAGTCCAAAAGTGAGGTTATTTTTCATCTATACAGCTATGTCTTGTCTATGGTTGCATAGTGCTGCACGAAAAAAACATTCAGTTCATTCAATATAAGTTTTTGTAATCGATTAGTAAATCGAATATTTCAATCGCAATCGGACGAGTCTCTAAGTGTATGGATTAATAGGAGGATTTAAAAATTAATATTTCGGAAATTGTAAATATTATATTAAGGTAATGCAAGGAAAACCGCTATTTTGATTCAATTGAACAAATCTATTTATTCAATTAATTAATCGATTTGTAGTTGGCATTACAATTGGCTATCACTAAACCGTCTATGGTCTGGTCAGTGACTTGTTTGTTTACATTTTGTTCAAAATGGATTGAAATAAAGTATAATTGTATTGGTCTTTGTATTAAATTATTATTGGTTGTTTATACATTGAGTGAAAAAGCGTATTTTTTGTATTGGTAACATTTATCTAGCATTCTCTGACGAAAAAACAATAGTGACACAAATAAAATTTAAATAATAGCTGAATTGAAGTCACCTTTTTATTCAATACTTTTCTGGTCTACTTGAAGCGTTATTCATTTGAGTCATAAGTTACTTTTCCTGTCATTTGTTATGTTTTTTGTTCATTTGCCTTTTTATCGTCAGCTTTGGTTTCCGTTTTTGGATTTTCAGGCTGTACTTTCTGGCCTGGATTGTTGTTTTGCTGATTTTGAGGTACTGGTGATTTCCGTTCTTGTGCCGTATTCGTATTTGTAGGTTTCATTTCTGCTTTTGTTTCTGTAGCTTTAGATTCTGTGGCTTTAGTTTCAGTGGCTTTATATTCTGTTGTTTTTGTTTCTGTGGATTTAGTTTCTATTTTTTGATTGTCTTCTGCTTTTTGCTCCTCTTTTGGTTTGTTCTTTGTCGCTTCCGGGTCCTGTAAGACTGGTTTTGGAGGCACAGGGGCTTTCGGCGTCCAATAGTATTCTTGATAAATATTATCCCAGAAATTGTACCCTCGCAGCGAAAGATGTTTCTTCATTTCCGTTTTGACATTTAATACAAGATGATAAGGTTCCTTCTCAGAATACGTCGGCCACTTGAAATCGACTACAGCACTTTCGTACCTTGTTGGATCTCTGAAAATACATAATGATGATATACATTTAAAAAAATTAATTATTTATTAATTTAAATTTCTTTCTTAGACGCTGCTATATTACAGTTGCATGCTCCGGTGCAATTAACTATCGAGTTTCTTCAAGTTGAAGTGTGAACGTAGAAATTTTTAAACTTTTGAAAAGTTGTCAATGTGCAGGTGTGGCGTTATATTACATAGCAATTTAATGGACAAAAAAGTGCTAATCATTATAAAAAATAATTTATTTTTCATATTACTGCAATACTTACTCATACTTTACAAAGTCGGCCCACATTGAAGTCATTCGCTCTCTCATCAAAAGGTCATCAAGCTTATTTGTAAAGGTAAAGAAATCTAAAATATACGATGACTGGTCTCTATGGCTGGCTCCTTTGATTCTATCCATATAATAATGTTTCATGTTCAGTGTTCCAACATATGCAAATTCGTAAAAGTATACAGGTCTTTTTGAATTCGCTGCGTGATAATTAGCAGACTTTATTATAGGATAATTAAACATTGAATCGCTAAAGTAATCGATGTAACCTTGCAAATTATCAAGGGTTACTTCTTTATTATTGAAGTAATCAGCTTTAATATTATCAATAGTTTTTTGCATTGCTTCTTTGCTGTCAAACTGCAAATCTGCTGGAAGGAATTTTGAGAAATCTTTATTCATTTCCTCACTCCATGTATCAAATTTCATAGACCTACTGATGCCTTCCATATTAGAAAAACCGGTCAATATGGCCACTTTCTTATGGTCTCCTTTTTTCATTAACTCTAGTGGTGATTCGGTTAAGAAAGGTTCTACGTTATCAATATTATTCTCTATACAAGGTGCGAACCCAAATGTACTATTGGTGAGGAAGAAATTTAGACTCTTGACAGATAGATACTCCGGTTTAGCGTTAATGTAAAATTCTGTTAGACTTTTAATATCATGGTCTGCACCACTATAATTGAGTGATTTGGCAATATTAAGAGCTGTTGCTATAGGATCTCTATTAATTGCATAAGTTGATAAAGCTGATCCACTTTCAAGTATGAGTTTGTCAATCAATCCATCAGTAGTTTTCGATAAAACAAGTAACTCTGCCATGGTTGCCCCGACACTAAATCCGGCTAGAGTAACTTTTTTAGGGTCACCTCCAAACTTCTTGATGTTTCTATTAATCCACCTAAGAGCTGCTACTGCATCTTTCATTCCGGCATTGCCTGGTATATCCTCGGTTCCGAGGCAATTGAATCCTATAGCACCGAGTCTGAAGTTAAAACTGCCAACAATGATATTATGTCTTGCTAAAAAGTGAAACTTTGCCATATTTCCATTTCCAACTGCAAAAGCTCCACTATGTATGTACATTACGACTGGTAGTAAATTTTTTTCCGAAGCGACTTCGGGAACTAACAAGTTTATGGTCAGGCAGTCTTCTTCACCCTCTAGGAAAATTTCGTCAACGTCTTCGCCGGTGTAGAATGTTTGAGGACAAAGCCTACGACTGTCTGTCGCTTGGAGTATTCCATTCCACTTTTCAGCGGGAAGAGGTGCCTGAAAAGTATTTACATAATGTTATTCTTCGTCATTGGAAATAAAAACGAAGTCCCCATATCCTGAATGACTTTGTGCTATAACTATAATCACCTGTAAGGTAGACTTTGACAACAGATTTCTACTCACACTTATGCTGGTCAACTTTTATTTCCTCTGTCTATCTACCATTAATTGTCTTCCGCACTGTACCAGTATTACCAGTTTTTCCATAATCTATACTCTACATTGTCAATACAACAATATTTTGTTTTAGGTTTCACCTGTGAGAAAGCTATGAAAGTTGTATTCAAACCTTGTTTACGAGATAACTCATCTTCACTCACCTTAAACCGATCACGTCCCTTAGGTACACTGGCATAAGGAATCCCATAAAACTCATAAAAATCTCCGTCCCAGTATTTCTCACCAGATATTACACCATCTTCTATTTTAACAGTTCTTACTTTCGCATCACTTTTGATAGCAGTCGGCATTATAGAATCAAGACCATCACTTATTGTAAAGAAAATTGTTAGTAGAAATAAACAAATTAATCGTAACATGTTTGTAGTTGTATTGTGGTCTTCATTATAAATGTTACATAAATTTCCTGTCCTAGATTTGTGGGCTTCGATTATAGATAAAGAGATAACTTTAGTATCGAGTGATGATAACATAAGAATACAAATATTAATAATTGATCTTTTATACCTTTTATGCGTTATTTTATTCAAAAAATCAATTTAATGTCGCACCTTTGGTGTAATATTGGCACATTTGATATGAGATGTTGAAAGATTAATAGCTAATGCTCTCGCAGTGCAGTGTCTCTCAGATGACAGAAATCTGAGATGCACTGCACTGCGTCCGTCACACATAACATAAGTTGAGAAGTCCTTAGTAATTTCACCAGCACCCTTACCCTTTAAAACCGGGACGCATATAATGTTCACATTATTACCTATCGTCAGAAATAGGTAAGGCACTGCTACAAAAATTCTTAGTAAGAAATAATAAACACACATTAAATTCAGCTAGTTTACAAAGTTTATTACCGTTCTTTTCTAAAAAAATATGTTAATTTTAGGATCCCAACTCTAATGAAACTGAAGTTATTTGAAATTATGCAACCGATAGTATTATGTTATTTGTCTGGTTTTAAAGCGCAGACCACACTGCTAATTACCACCACTAACTTAGCTTAGCTCACGTAGCCCGGGCATCTATTCATACTTGCTGAGTAATCACGATCTGGATGTTGATCTAATTGTAATATTGATGCGCTGAAGAGTAAACTGTTGAACATTTTATTTAATGTTATTGAATAATTTGTGACTGTTGGCGCAGGTATTGGGTTGTTATATTTATGTAAGTGCATGTTATTAACAAATATTTTTTTATTATTCATTTGTTTAATGCTCGTGTTTGATTTGCCTAAAGCTATAGGTGGAAACCTGTAATTGGCTTTATGTTTCTTTCTCTGTTTTTATTAAATGGTTGAAGCTGTTGGTTTTCTATGAATAAATAAATATACTGCTAGACTAGTTTATTTTACTTACTTCCATAGTATAATGTCCTACGGGATTCTCATGTGGGATAAAGCGGCAGATATACAAACCATATTTGTTTTGCAACAACGAGCGATTCCTTCTGCGTACCGTTTAGCCCTTCTGCTTCTCTCAGAGGAAAGTTTAAGGAGACTGGTATCATGACTGTGGCATCACAGCACATTTACTCAAATATTTTGTATGCCCATAAAAATATACATAATTTCAATAAGAAAAAAGATATCCATTATTAACCTTAGAACTAAGTCCAAACTCATCGTACCACGATTTCGATTAACTAAGGTAAACGATTCTTTTATGGGGAACTGTATGTTTTTACAATATGATTCCGGAGCATATATTAAGATTATCATTTCCTAAGTTTAAAACTTATATAAAAAGTATTTTAATTGAAAAATCATCTTACAAATTTTAAGAGTATTTTTGAAGTATGGAAAGACAACAAGAGTCCAGATTCCACACAATTATGATTCAAAGTGTATTCTATAGCATTTAAGTTTATTTGAAAAGAGCAATTCCTAGAGTTTCTTGCTCGTTCTTCTCAGGGAAGTCAGCGTAGTGAACGAGCAGTAGCTTAAAAAGTAGCTTAAAAAATGACGTATTCAAATGTAATAATTTTACCTATGGAATAAATGATTATTTGATTTTGACTTTGAAATAAATAAATATTTCGGTTCACACCGCAAACTAAGCTAACCCGCTAAGCTATGTAAAATATGTCGCTCTCTACCGCCCTTCACTACTTACTCGTGACGTCATTACTTAATACGTATTTTCTTAGCTTAGCTTTGTATGCAATTACGTGAACTAAGCTAAGTTAGCTAAATGCTTCTAGCAGTATATTTATTTAATTTCGCGGTGTGACCTGCGCTTAAAGCCTGTGAAATTTCGGTAACCCGTAATTAATTGTTAAACCACCGTGGATTGACATAATTGGGCACATGATAAAATACAAATAAACCCAATTTACGAGTGACATACTATTCGGGCACCTTCTTATCGATAAACTGCTTGGTATCTGATAAATAGATTTTGATATTTTTGTTAATCTTTTGCAGCTTATAATGACATTAAAGTAAATTTTGTAAAACGTAGGACCACGTGGCCCAATAACACTGGTTTAGGAAATAATAAGAAAGATAAATAATATTATTGCTATGTATATATATATGTATAATGTATAATATATAAGGCACGCATCGTTAGCCGATTCTTGAACTTGGCTGCCTGACCCCGTTCGACTGTACCATTGTTAAGGAACATCGGCTCTTCCATTTAAAAATAAAACGCTATTAATGAAATCGCATTCATTTATTGAGTCAGAAATAATGGGTCAGGATCACAACCGAGTCGCCCTGAATAGCCCCTATGGGCGACATGTTATCCCTGATAACATTCCATCCCATTGGGGCCTACATAGTGAATATGTCGGTTCAGGTTAGAACCATCCGAAAATCCCCACCTGACCATATTGTCCTAACTTCGACCAACCTGAGTTCGAAGCCTATTCAAAGATGTCCAGATCAGCCATGGCGGCGGTGGCCACCCCAGAAGGCGGGACAAACGTAGATCGGACATTTGACGAGACTTTTCCGGCTCCTCAGCTCTGTTGTACTGTGAAGTGATCGTGCATAGGGTGCCGAGTGTCGATAGCCATTTTGGCTTTTTAGCAAGATGCATTTAGAAGATGAAGATTTGTATCCGCGTCTAAGAACATATGGCTGATGTCAAACACCGTCGCGTAAACAAGTCTGCAGTCTGCGAGCATGTCATGGATAAACCTACACATTCAATGAAGTTTGACAAACTCCAGATCTTTGCAAAAGAAGTTCGTTATCTACCCAGGATGCTGCGAGAGGACATTGAAATTAGAAAACATCCTAATTTCAACAGGGAAGATGGTTTCCCCGTACCACCAGTATTTCCTCTGATGAAAAATCCCAAACACACATAAGACTGCAGTACTAATTAATATGTTTTGGTTTATTCTAATTTCTATTATTAACTTTAATAAATTGAACTTAATAAAAATTCAATCAATAAAATAATTTGTAAAACTTAATGCAGCGTAAATTGAAATGTTTTCTTTGTAATTAAAAATAAGGTATTTAATTAATAACTATTGTAACTATAGTGAAAAAATTGCGTGGTTTGCATTAATATTAGACATAACTGGTTGAAGACTGTACCATCTCAGTCAACCGTGACCATGGGACCTGAGAACCTAAGAACTCGATATATGTATAATAAGATTCCTTCAAATGTTAAAAAAAAACAAATTGATAAATCATTCATAGTTAAATTAAAATATTTTCTAACTGAAAAATGTTATTATTTTATAAATGAATTTCTTGACGATAAAGATATAAATTGACATTACCAATTATACTCGTACATACCTTCTATTTTGCGATCTAGCCTGTGTATGCCTAATAACACTTTATATTTATTTACTTATATTTAGTTGACCTTGAATCATTTTAACTATTTTTTTTTAACCATAATATATATAATATGATGTACTTCGTTTGCTTTGTTATATTGTAAAAATTATTTGCATGAGGGAAATAGAATAATACCACTGCATATAAAGCAACCAATAAATGTATTTCGTAATTTAAAGCAAGATTAATTAACACTATGGCACTGACATTTGTAATTTGACATATTTTACAAAGCAATAATTTATTACATAGCCATCACTATACATAGAAATAATATATAAACATCATACCTGAGTGGAGCTCTGAATAGGCGTTGCCTCGATCGGAGTCGATTAAGGAATGCCTGACGTCTGGCCACACAAGGTTATTTATAGTCGTGAACAAACACGTGGCGTAGTGGTCGAATGAATATCGGACAAACAACTTTGTTTTTTTGTAAAATTATGAATTAAAAGTTGATCTCCCACATGCATGCAACCTCTATTAATTGAACTAAATTAAATATAATATATTGTAATGCTCTAACGAGGATCATGTACCAACAGTCAGTGTGATATTTTTTAAGATCAATTTACAACAATTGTTCATGTATAGCAATAAATAAATAAATAAGTCTCATTTAAGGCTGTATTCTCTAATTTTACACGGGTAGAACGGCTCGAAACAGGAATGCGTATTCGCCAGCAGAAAAGGAAAGCGTATATCACCACTGTGAGGAACACCTGGCCATAATATGTTAAGTAATCTGTAATGCGGGTCGTGGCACGCGCCGTGTGTCTCGTGTTGGATACAAGCAATCGGCAATTAGAAGCGAATGTTCTATTAGATAGACTTATAGGAAAGGAAAGGTACGTCGTGGGGGAGGCTCCTTTCGTACACCACACTGATGCGTGATGATGAGGCGAAGGATGTGTGTCAGGACCGTAGCAAATGGAAGTCTGTTGTCTCTGTATATGTATATATGATTGATTGAATTGGGTGAGGTACTCACCAAAAGATTGCGCAGATCTAGTTTCCTCTAAAGTTTTGAAAATTAATATCTTTTTGCAACGACGTTTTCTTGAAAAACGTAACTTCCAAATCCCATATTTTCTTTCAAACCCAAAGAAGTTACTAAATATAACTCGAGATATATACGAGCATTCGAAGAGGAAATCGCAAAGCGGTGCGAAATATATTATCCTATAAGATATCCTCTGCAGGCACATTTCTTGTGTCCGGCGGCCGAAGTGTTTGTTGTTACAATTTTTACACCTCAAGACTCCTTCACGACTGCATTACGACGTTTCGACTCTACGTACGCTACTGATCTCGTACTAGTAGCCTGGATCAACCCTTTAGAATGTGAAAGTGAAAAGTGAAAGTGACCCAACAAAAAACCCAAATTTTTGGAAATACGCAAAATGGTATTTGAAGTTGGAACATTTTGACATTATTTAATGTATATTATTCTGGAAACACTAAAGTTAAAGGCCTTGTTTA